CCCCCCGCATGTTCCGAAACTACTCTTCTAGCACCCCTTTCCCCTCCAACTAACCATCTTTTCAAACTCGTCCACCTCCCTACCACATTTTCCACTCTAAAAAAAGTTTCCTACTTCTTTTCAAAATATCTGACGTAGGGCACGGTGAGGGGGTAATCGCTAGTCAACTGCCAAAATCAACTATCAGAAATAGCGGTTGTTCAGTGTTTAAGCAGGAGGGGAAAGGGTATGTCGCACGTGAAACCCGAAAAAAACGTAAAAAGGCAGCAACTGTGAAAATTTTCTCACAGCTCGGTGGAGTTCCTTTCAGAGCCAGACATGACCCCCCCCATCGGACAAATAGCCCTCCTCCCCCGACGGGGATCTCCATGCGATACCGTACCCTGGATCTACTGAAGCTACTGATCTCCGGTATCGACTATGCTCATGGTTTACCGACCTGGTTCATGCTAAAAAGCTGGAGCACAGGCTACATTGTCCCCACACCAGAATCTGAAGGAGTTCTCATCCTCTCGCTGCACGAAATCATCGAAGGACTCACGTGGTGTCCGGCAAGTTCAGGGTCACACTGCCTTGTACTGCGTTTCCAAATGTGATATATCCGTAGAAACCACAATAGGTGTAAATAATTGTCACCAAGCTCATACCTGAATGAATAGTCAAATAGGCTCGCTAGTTTTTGGCAAAATTTCCTGCCTCACATAAGCTCGAACTATGGTTTGTGCTTTCCGGCCACTACGCTGTCGATTTGCACCCTCAGGTTCACGCATCATGGAAAACCGTTTGGTTGGTCGACCCCGCATCAAAAGGATATCTCCATAGCTGGGCGCTACATGAAAAGTTAGGTCTGGCGCAGCGCCAGCCCCTCTTCTAGCAATTGTTGTCGCTTGTCTACTTCAACCGTTGGTGAAGAACGGAATGATGCCCGCAACACCCAGCTCGCCCCTGGGAACGCCCCAGTATTCGTTAGTGAGTAATGCGTGAGTTATGGGGCAAAAGTCGGACACACGTACGGGATTCGAACCCGCACTTCTTCTGTTCCACAAGCAGTTGCGTTCCCTTTTAAACACAACACAGCAGTTATCAAAAATACTACTTGATTTTGTTAGAAAATAACGCGCCCAATGTACTACAACACTGAGATCCTGTAAAAGCACCGTATGCACCTGCAGATCTCGCGCATAATGTGACCCACTGGTTTCCCTCAGTTTCCTTGTGTCTTTTAAACCACCTGTCTAAGTTCAACAAATAGTTTTATACCTGTAGAAAGCACGCCTGTCCATCCAAGCATATCTTGAGGATGTTTCAGTTTGTTCTCTAACGGAAGAACCTAAATTCATTCAGTATCATAAATAAAGGGTAAAATTTGAAAGCTGGGGATTGTTGTCTCTTTCCCCGTCTCCAGCCAAGCTGCAACTCTTGCTGGACGAACCGGCTGGCCGCTGTGGGCGCAGATCCGGCACCACTCGAGCACCCCGAACTTGACTTTAGTGGATAAAGAGACGTAACTACAAAACAAACCATAGCTTGTCCTTCAAATGAATAGAGCAAAGAGCCAGCCGCCGCTACAACGCCATCAAAACTGGTAACCCACGGAAGATCTTGCCATTGATGTTCGGCTACAAAAAGCTCCTGAAAGCCTAATACTCCAGATTGGGGTGGATAATTGGTTCAAAAAACAAAATCGAGATTAACTTATACCTCTAGTATAAGGCCTATCGATGCAAAAATAAAAATGTTCCCAACTAGACACACAATCGTCACTGCGCGTATCGATCGAACAAAATTGATCAAATATTGTTGGAATTGTATAAGAGGCGAGAAGTAGTTCCTTGACACTCAGGTTAGTACCAACATTGAAATGTTGCAGGATCTGAAACATGCATGATACGGATCCACATAGGGAGGGGGGGGGACGAGGTGCTTAGACTGTAATACAACCTCCTGAATATGTTCAACTACGAAAACGTAGGCCACACTAGCAACGCCGACTTGGAACGCTAAAAGGCAACATTCACGAAATATCTGAAAGAGAGTCGCTAGATTGTCAGAACCCTTTGAAAGCACAGTCCATGACGATCATATGGGCGGGACCACACTTGTGCCTTCCTCATAGGCCCACTCCCAGACATGGTGTAGGGCAGGGTCGAGCCAATGAAGGAGGTCACAACAGTAGGCTAGATCCCTCAGTTACGATCACCGTGGACTGTGATTTGAGAAGTGGTTGTATAATGGGTGATCTGGTATAAGGCTAGAATTAAGGATTCTCAATGGGCAAGGCTACTTCAAATGCTGAAATGACCTTATCGCTTAACGAACTTGGCCTTGCATTTGTGTCGAACAAGCACTGGATAGACACTGTGCCCAAATGCCGATTCGGCCATATCACCGTAGTCCAGGTACGTGTTTTCATCCCTAAAAGGATATAATAAGTGATGCTCAGCATTAATTAGACGGATGAAGTCTCATAAACCACCCAATTTATTTTTCTGATCTAGACAGAGCAGTCCCTACCGAAAGGCGAAAGGGGTCTGTCTAAGTACTCTCAGTAACGGCTGCCTATCTCTTACATATATGTAACTCTCGTCCGCCTAATCCCTCGCAGCCGTCACCAAGCGCACTCGTAAACGCCCCATTTACCTTCGGGTTTAGGTCGGCTAAGCTAGCACAAGGTGGATAGATCTGCAACCATCGGGTATTTTCAACTGGGTGTAGAGAAACTCACAAGAGCGATAAGTACTGCGAACATTTGACGATTTTGAGCATTGATATTGTGCTAATTACTCCCAGAAAAAATACGAGGAAAAAGGACATCTGAAATTGACATTTTCCATTTATGGAGAATTTTGATTTGATCTCGTGAAACGTGATGGCACTGTCTGCGCTGGTCGCACAGTTGCAGAAATGGGCGGAGACGGCCAGACATTGTGCCTCACTATTGGTGAGAATTCTGCGCTTCGAGGAGATAAAGAGAAGGCGTGCATCAATGGGAAAGGCATGCTATTTGGCTGTCGTGGCCCAATTCCCGCCCCTATGACCACCGTGGAGTGTTCTCTCGGGGAAACATACTACGCCGGACATTCACAGAATAACTGAACACGACAGCGGAATGGGAAAGTTTCCCTTCTTCCTTGAAGGTGTGACAAACGGTCGCAGAGTCGGGTACCCATCAAAGAAAATGGTAATAGCTGTGGTAGCCGTAC